CAAAAGCCCACTTGAATGCAAATTTATTTTTTATTGTATTTTTGCATCTAATTATCAATGTAAATATGTATTGAAAAATGTATTTTCTATCATTTGTCAATACATAAATGTAATGTACATTGTCAAACACAAGAACAAATTTACCATAAACCAGGATTTATACTCCATTTGCATCGCTTCCAAACGCAGCCTAAAGCATTTGAAATTTTGAATAACTCTTTATTTGAAAATTATTTAATTGAATGGTGGAGAATTCATTAAATGGTGGGCTTATTCTTGAAAACATGAGATGGGTGGGCAGGTTATGGAAGACCCAAAAGTCCAATAACAGTCCATAAGTCTGGTGGCCAAATAAGCAGCCATGGTGCCAAGTTGTCCTTGCCTGCAACAATTAAAGAAAGTAAGAAACCTTTCTCATGTCAAATAACATTGGAACAGTCAATAAAGTCAAAAATGTAGTTGCCAAGATGGAAAGCATGGTTGGAAAAAACGAGTTCTCATTTGCTGTGAACTGAGTTTTTGTTTCAATTATTGGGGTGTTGACTCATACACGAGCAAGGTTTGTCGAGTCAAATCGGATAACGAACCAGTTAGGGGTTCGGTTCTCGAGTTGAATGGTTCGATTTTTCGAACTAAATGGATGGCTCATTCTGACAAAAAAATTAAAAAATTACAAAAATTAAAAAACGGCCAAAATCGTTAAATGGTTTGAATAGTTTGGATGGTTCGTTGCTGACAAAATAAATGGTTTTTGGCGAAATAACGGTTCTAGGGTAAAACAGAACCGATCACTTGATCGGTTTGGCCAATAAATCATTGATCCAGACAGTCAAACCATTCGAACCGTTCAATGATTTGACCATTTTTATTTATTTATTTTTGTCAAAATAGACAGTCCATTTAATTCAAATGATCAGACCGTTCAACCCAATAACTAGACCCTAACCGATTCGTTGTCTGATTGAATTTTTAAAACCTTGATCGCAGCAAATGATAATGGCGATATATAACAATCCAATAAGTCTAGACTCATAGACACATTAATAGACATATTTCAATAATAACAGTGATGATGATGAGAAGGAGGTTATTTGATTAGTCAAGTGGGAAGCGTCTCTAAATCACCTGTCTTATTTCTACCACGTGGAGAGATGATGTGAGAAATAGGTTCTTTGAATTGGCCACATGTGCAATCTTTGAGTCCATATCAATCAGCTCATTACCTAACATTTAGTAGTGTATTCCACAAGTAATATTCATGTTGAAAGTTTTAATACTTTAATATTAAAATTATGTGATAAGAGGGTTTATTCTGACCATTAATGTTAAATAACTCTCAGCTGTGAATTGGGAATGTCTCCCCCATAAACAAAACATATTAATATGGAGATGTTTCCCATACATGGTTGCAAATGACTGTAAACATGGTGTGAGGATGATGTTGCGAAGATTGAATTGGTCTTTTTTTGGATGACTTAGGTCATGTTTGGTTCGTGGTTTAGGGCTTTATTTTTTTTTTAATTAAAAATGAGCAAGAATGAATAACATTATAATTTGGGTTATAAAATTCTTGCCATCAATTTCACTCTTTTCAGAATGAAAAATCAGCCCATAACACAAAAGTTGGGGTAGCCTTCAGCATAAAAAATAATCATGTCCCATCTTTGCCCATTTTCATTCTTTAAAGAAACTCTATAACAGATGTTAGAAACCATCAACATAAAAACACTTTTATGAAAACATTTTCTCAAAAGCATTTTTGTAAAAGTAATTTAATGAAATTTACTTTTACAAAAGAAAGTGCTTTTATAAAAGTACTTTTATGAGAGCACTTTTACAAAAGCATTTTTATAAAAGTAATCTTATGAAAAATACTTTTACAAAAAATATTTTTACAAAAGTACTTTTACAAAACACTTTTACAAAAGTACTTTTATGAAATCACTTTTATAAAAGTACTTTTACGAAATCACTTATACAAAATTACTTTTATTAAAGTATTTTTATCAAGGGGTTTTTACCACTTAGTCCACCTTTGAAATCCTATCTCCACCGTACAGTTGGGGGTAGATGCCATCTCGGAATTGATGCCAATTAATGGGTGGATATGGGTGTTATAGGTGGAGCCGTTCATAAATTTGAATTGTTGTAGGTATGCAGTTCAAATTTGAATTCTGAGGTGGTGTGTAGGCTAAAAATCCCTTTTATAAAGTACTTTTACAAAAGCACTTTTACTGAAGTACTTTTACAAAAGTGCTTTTATTCATTTACTTAGGATTGAATTGGGCCCAATCTAGTCTATTTGCATTTTAATTGGACTAGGTTGGATTGTAGTTTTTTTTGTATGTTTTCTGGATTTTTCATTTTATTTTGGTGTTTGATTCAACTTGGATTGGATTGGACCCAATCTGCTCCATTTGCATTTTATTTGGATTAGATTGGAATTGGTTTTTATGGATTTGGTTCAATCTATTTTGTAAATAGACCAATATTGGATTGGACCGGATTGGACCAAATGTAGTCCAATTGACAGCCCTACTAGTAAACATATATGCTGATGATTTTGGAGACCTAGGCCGGTGGTTTATGACTACTAACACAATTTTTTTTAAGAATGAAAAGGAGCAATATAAAACACATGTTAGTTTGAAAAGAATTCTTTTTTCAGGAAAAAAGCGCTTGGTTCATAGCAATATTTTCTCATTTTACCCATTATTGTCCATTTTAGAATTTCATCTTGGGCAAGAATGAGAAAAAATGAGAGTTGAACCAAACATGGCCCTAAGTAAACATCTTCACACATTTATTAAAACCTAACCTTTAGTTTTTTTTAGGTAAAGAAAAATCATAATTTACCCCTCTAATTTGCATATTACTAAAATACTCAATATAGTTTGTAACCACTTAATGGCATTCCATCAATAACCATTTATATTTTCATTTGGAAATGGTCATGTGACCTTCAAGAAACAAAACCCTTCCTCCACATTGCCAGAAAAATGTAATTACGTAAATATACTTTGTGGTTTTACTAAATTACTTAAATGTACCTTACAGTTTCCAAAGCTGCTCAAATATGCCACACCAATTGGTAAGAAAAAATAGAAAATAGGGGTATTCTAGTTGATAACATGATTTAATGATTGTTAATGGGAGTTAATACCTTATATATTAGACTTAATGAGAGGGATTTGATTGAGTAGAAAAGTGGTTGTTCATATTATATTTATATTCTATTTTTACAATTAGAGGGACTAAATACAAAAATTGGGATATTTTACTCAAACAAAAGTTACATACTCTCATTTGCACTTTTAATAATAGTATAAATTATTGAACAAATGGAAATTAAATAACAAAAAAAATTGGAACATATTTCTCATTTATACTATTTAGTTGCAATATTAGATCCTATGATCAACTTAGAAGGTATATATATATATATAACAATTAATTCATACAATGTAAGTACACAAAAAAATATAGGTAGAAAAAAAGAAATTAATATATATATATATATATATATATATATATATATTATGTAATATGTAAATTTATATGAATTTAGAATTAGAAAAACTAGTTTAGTGCCACCAGCAAAACATAGTAGTGGTATTAGTATCACATCAAAGTAGAGTTAAGGTGTGGTTTTTAATAAGTAAAACCATTGTTTAATCATCTTCTTCTATTTCAAGTTCATCTTTCAATAAACTTTATTTTTATTTGCAAAATAATTTTTAATTTCCCTCACATTTGAGAAAATAGATCATTTTTATATTTTAGCCTAATAGGAAAATAATTTGTAAGTTTCTTGTGTTTGATCTACTCACCCCTTTGATGCTCATAGTAGTATTAAAATTTTGTTTTAGTGCAGAGAACTAGATGCTAGAAGAGAGTAGCCAATGATTGATGAAATATTGGAGATATACACATCTGTTTAAAAGATTGGTTAGATGCAAAAGATAGGCTACAAGATAAAAAGATAACATGATACATCATTCCATGTATAACCCGAAGATTTATTTCATTTTTTGAGATTTTCAATTTTATTTGTTACTTGTAAGTTAATTGTAATTTTTATTATCAATTTTATTATAGTATATTCTTTTTCAATTTCATTTAATTTTTTTATCGTCGAGATTGATTATTTTGATTTTCATTATTTTTTAATGATTTTATATCTGATCGAAATAAAAGAAAACGAAAAATTGCAGGGGCAACATGACCCGCTATACCTCATAAGAAAAGTCCGACCAGCCGGATTCGAACCAGCGACCTAAGGATGTCTAATGAATTTTACCAACTACAGTCCTCCGCTCTACCAACTGAGCTAAGGTCGGACGCCTGATGTTGAAGCAACACAATATTTATATAATAGATTAAATAGTCGTCCCCATCACATATTCACATGGTGCAATATCGTCAATCCGTGAGTCCAAACGTCTTCCTTGTGATTCAATTACGCCCTTTTACTATCAAATTTTCATTTAAAGTCGGTTTGTGGACAAGGTTAAATTACTGTCTCTCACTGTTTCCTTTTTGGCTTTACTTTCTTGGGTGGCTTACCAACCAAATGCAGAAGAGTCTGCTTTCTTCCCTTCAGACCCCACACAATATGTTCAAGTTCAACCTCCTCTATATGCATTTAGGTTACGGTGTTTTGACTAGGAGTTTTTGTTACAAGTGTACCCCAAATTCAACTGATCGTTGTAATCCTGCCTAACCAGACCACTCCATTGAAAGACTTTTTGTACTTGCATAGAACTTTTACCTCAAGCCCCCCTTCCATAGATTTTGGACCAGTTCTAGACTTCAATTTTCATGTCGTCTTGGTTTGATCCTACCAGGATTTTAATATGTTTATTGTCTTTGATTGATAAATTCAAATTTGATGTCTGTAGGCTGTAGGCTGTAGCCACTTTCCTCTGTGGAATGTGGAACTGTAGAATACCCCAAAAATATCAAATTAGCTGTCCAAAAATTTCTCCCAAACTAAAGAATCACATTCCAAGTCACCCCAATTCCACATCAAATGGGTTGATTCAATCTTTTCAATACAACACAGTTAATTCAGTTTGAAGCTTATAACATTGATGTAGCTTTGAATAAATAAAACAAATTTATTTAATTAACTTCTGTAATGCATTTAATATATGGTGTTTAATTTGAGAAGAATAGAAGTTGTCTATGCTGCTCATTTGCTGCCAGGGGTAGGTCCCTTTTTCCCCTCTTTCTTCTTCCACCATGTGAGCCCAGGGAGGGATGAAGCCATTCAGTAACTCTGAATGAATTAATTATAATTAGCTCTGGTCTACTGTAACATAAACACTTGCAGAAACTGGCACATTGGACTCAACCACCACACGATTCCGTGAAACATTCCTCAGGGCATGATTAGGGAAGGAGCCACTGGTGCTCAATGTGTACTGGACATGGCTGATTCGATCAGGAAACAGTAGGACTCCATTGAAATCCACAGTCCATGAGCTTCCATTTCCTTGTGCCATTCCGTTTGCCAGTGTGGCCTTGACTGCCATCCCCCTCACATTGTTCCGATCAACCACCACCTGATCGATGCTTCTGAAAGGCCCATTTGATTGATCCAACTGAACAATGCTGATCCCTTTGTTGCTTCCACTGAACATGTTGTCGACTATGTTGACACCACTCAGCACACCCTTCACAGACTTGAACAGAATGAAGACATCCCCAAGGAAGAAGGTGTTTGAGACATGGAGCTGAACTGGGTCTTCTGCCACAATTCCTGTGTAGTCCATGTAACAATTCACGATCCTGGTCTGTGTTAAACCAGGCAGCTTTAGATATATTCCGGTGCCGCCGAAGCCAGTGGCCTTGTTGTAGCAATGTACGCCGGTGAGTATGTTGGCCTGGCCGGACACCATCACTCCAACGGCGGCAGAGAAGATGACGACGTCTGTGACTGCATTGTCATTGCCCATGAGGTTGATTGCAGTGCCGGAGAAGTTCCTCTCGCCGGGGTCACCGCCGGCTGTTATGTGTTGCCCAAGCCAGGAGTTCCTGATGTAGGTCTCGTGGCCACCTCGGACCAATATCCCATTGGTTGCGAAGTGAGAAATGTAACAGTTGTCTATGGTGGTTCTGAGGGAGTTGATGACTGAAATGGCACCACCTCTGAAATTACAGTCCAGGAGAAGGTTCTTCAGGGTGACATCTTCATAGGTGTAGAGGCGTTGTGAAGAGCCTTGTTCTTTTAAAGATATGTTCTGGTCCTCTTTGCTTTCACGATCAGTTGCTGCTGCTGCTTCTGATGATGATGAAGCTGATAGCTCTATCAGATACCCATCTTTGGGAAAATCAGCTGATGCTCGTAATGATCCTCCATGAATCTGTCAGCAGGCACAGAACAAGTTAATAGAAACGGAAACCCAGTTTTGATTAGATTAAAACTATTGTTGGGTATGTTGTGAAAACCAGACATTCAAGTGGTAATCCATCCAAATCATTCATGGATTGATTCTGAAAACCAGAAGCTTAAAGAAGATGAATATTTCTAAAGAAAATATGAACAGAGAGATGCAACAGATTCGATTAATTTGAATATCACTACCAAGAGATTTCCACCGCCGGTTGCCGGAAGTTGCAGGGGACGACTTATCATGTAAGACCCTCCATCGAGATGAACTTCTGCTCCCCCAAGATCAGCGATCCCTGACATCAGCTCCTCTCCAGTTTGAGCCTGGAAAGCGTCAGAAATCGCCCTGAGGAGGGCGTCTGTGCTGTCGGTTTTTCCTGTGGGATCCGCTCCGTAGTCCGTTGCGTGATAAACTTGTGAACTTGATGACATCTGCATCTGCATCTGCATCTGCATCACCAGGTGCATTAATGATTCAGCTTCCTAACACCCACCAGAAAGCATAAACGCAACTACTGAATCCATCATCACGAGAACTGGTACCAAGAAGAAATTTTCCAATAACAGAAGAAGACTATTTCAATTTGTTTATTAAGAAATCGACGGAATGGACACTACCCCCACCATCATCATTTCTGTCACTAATCACCAAACCTCACCAAAATAAACAATGATATATCAACAGACAATTACGGTGTCAAGAATCATCACCATCACCATCACCATCTTCAATGAATGACCCATTTCCCATAGATTAACAGACAATTACAGAAGATGATTTTGCAGAAAACACAAGATTCCTTCCTTGCTGATTACACCACCATCCCCATGGCAAAAAGATTGACAGAAAAAAAGAGTATCCGGATCAAAGAACAAACACGGCCAAGGCTAATCAGGATTCACAAAAGGAAAATCAGCTAAGAAAGAAGAACAAGAACAAGAACAAGATTACGACAATCACCCGTGGACTATTAGTATTACTGAGCAATGGAGAAGCTGAGCTCATCAACGCGGGAGACTGAGACACCGAGTTGCGGCGAAGGAGCGAAGCTTTGAGCGACTGCATTCGGTACATTCTGTCATAATAAGGAGTGCTGGAAATTCGACCCACCTTGGAGTTGTCGCCATAACCATGAATTACTATCAAGCTGGCCAATCCCAAGAAAATGGAGACCGCCACAGCTTTTCTCGCCATTGTTGCTTTCATTGGTTCCTTGTCTTCTTTTTCTTGCTTCTTCCTGCTGGAGGTCACAGTCACACACAATACGTTGACAAGAACCTCTCTGCAATTGTCTACTTTTATATATGAAACACAAAGAGAAAGAAGAGGAGAGAAGAAGAGAAAAAAGAGAGCAGAGAAATAGAGAAATCTGTGAACATGGAAAGAGGAGGGCCTAACTAAGAGATGAGTTTCTATGTTTTCATATTAGCTCATACAAAAAACACCCACATGGCTCTTCCTCTATATTTGTTGAATTCCCTCCTCCCTTTACCTTTTTGAATTCTTGTGAATTGTTAGAGGCTCAGTTTGGAAAGAGTACAAATACAAACTGAGCATAAGGGAAAACTAATAAATAAGCTGATAACCAAACTCTAGCCTTACCTTAGAAATATTACAATATAATCTCAGTGGAGATGTTGATGAGGTGCATCTAGCCTTACCATTAGGTCGTGGTCGTGGCCATGTGGCAGCTGCAGGAGGCTTGGTTAATGGTGATTGATTTCTTCATTTAATTCAATGGGGCCAGCTGGGTTTGTTATAATACATGATTGAATCTTCTAATGGGGTTTTGTATAGGTTAAGTGGGGGGTGTTAATTTGGATGGCTTGTTTGCTTGCCAGTGCAAAATTGGACCTACCCATTGAGAAAGAAAGAAAGATTCTGACTGCATCATCAAATATTTCCCAAGGTTAGACATTTTCTCTTCTTTGCTAATATCAGACATTTTCCCTTTGGGTAAAACCAGATGCCCTACGGGTTCAGACATGAAAAGAGAAATTAAGTCTAGGGAGTCTACCTACCATGTGGCTCCCATTTCTGTTGCCCCACTCTAGCCATAGAATTACACATCTGCCATTAATTTGCTCTCCAAATTCCAAGGGTATTTTGGATAATATAATATTAATATTTTGTTTTATTTGTTCATTTGTATTCAATAAGGGGCACCTCACATGAGGGGTCCCTCTTCTGCCATCAGATTAGAATCATCAACCATATATTAGCACTAAAACCCCTGCCATAAGGTGGGGATACCTCATTGGATCACAACCCCTTTTGTTCTAGAATTATTCCTTAGAAGAAGGGTGGAGTGGGCGGGTGTGGGAGCAGATCAGATTGTCAGAACCAAATTCTATGTTCTCATCAGAATAGTAGTTGTAGTTGAATGGGTTCAACATAAGAGAAATTAACCATTTGATTAGTTAGGTAGGAGAAAGAATATGAGAGTTGATACTATCAAACTAGAATACCCTTTACATATAATCACATGAACAGGTGAAAAAGCCAACCTCTCTCTCTCTCTCTCCTTTGTTTACAACTTTCTCAAATGGAATTGTTCTAAATCAAAGAGAGAAAAAATAGTATGCAAATGCAGAGTAAAGGGTTTCCTTTTAGAGATTTAAAAAAAATAATTGAATTCAAGCATTCCCTTTTAGGTTGTAGTAGGAAAGTACTGAAATGCTAAAAGTCATGGTCCTCCATAAAGTAATTAGATATATAGTGGTTGTTATGTCAACAAAACTTACTTTTTATTATTAGTTGTTACATTTATGACCATCATTCACATTATAGAATAGCTTTCGTCAGATTTTTTTTCTTCCTTTTTTTTTCTGGTTACAAACTTAGTTTGGTTATTAAGCTATCAGCTATCAGCTTCACTTGGCCCATTTTATAACTTACCATCATATATATTAATAAAATAAAGTCACCATGTGAATAATTTCAAGCCTCATCCTCAACCAAGCCTTATTCCAACCATATGGGGTCAGCTACATGAATCTTGTTTCGCCATGTAAATATTTTTATACGCAAGGTTTAAAATTTCGTTAAGGCATGTATCATTTTAGTAAGGGCTCAATATGTGAAATACATCGAAAACATGTTTTTCATGTTTTCGCCATGTGAATGCTTTCATACCCAAGGTTTAAAATTTCGTTAAGGTATGTACCATTTTAGCAAGGGTTCAATATATATGTGGAATACATCGAAAACATGTTTTTCATTCCTTTTTGTTTGCATCAAGCCGGTTTAAGCATGTATCAGGCCATTTTGGATATGTATCGATCAACATATACGAGCCAATATGCTACAATTTTTGATACAGTAAATTGTTGAAACCTCCCCTCAAGTCTTGGACCATTGCTAAATCCTCCCCTGAAGTTTAGTAATTGCAATCACCTCCCTTGAACTTTATGACATAGTTGCAAGTAGACACCCTCTATGAGAATCTTCTAATAAAAGGCATGAAAATATCCAAAATACCCATACAGTTACAATTGACACTGGTTTCTACAGAAAGAAAATATAAATTTTATAAGTAACAAAAAAATTAAACTTTAAAGTTGTAGTTTTACCTTTGAGTGATTGGATTTGAAGGGCAATTTTGAAAAAAAGATAGAAAATCAATTTCAGAAAAGAGACGAGAAGGATTTGAGCTAGCAATTCATCTTAAGTGAAAATTTTGAAAACCAAACATTTTGGTCAGAAGTAATTTCATGGGTATTTTGGACATCTTGGTGCTTCTTTTTAGAGGATTCTAACAAAGGGAGTCTACCTGCAACTATATCAAAAAGTTAAGGGGAATTGATTGCAATTACCAAACTTAAGGGTGGACGGTTAGAAACTCCAGGGGAGGTTTCAATAATTTACCCTTTTAATATTATAAATCTCTCCGTTCTCTCTCATTAATAACCCCTATATGTATTCCCTTACTCTTTAATAACCCCTATATTTAAGACAGCTTTTAAAATATTTTTTTGTTAATTCCTAAATAACCCCTATAATTACAGAATTACTCCTTAAAAATATTTAAGACAGCTTTTAAGGCAACTTTTCAATAAGGTTGGTTTGAAGGAAAAGGTAAGGAAAGGAAGGGAAAGGTAGAGAAATTTTTACAACGTCTGTAAAAGTTTCCCTACTTTTTCCTTCAAACTAAATACTGCCTAATTGATTTCATTGAAGAGGAAAGAAATTGATCTAAATGTTTACTCGATATTAGCTAATTAAGACCCTTGTTTAGAGGTCAAAATGTGGTGATTTTAGAACTTGTGAATTAAGGATCCAGAGTTGAAAAGAAATGGCAATTTTATAATACGCAGAGCAAGGATTTGGGGAAGAATGTAAGAAAGTTGTTTCTTTGAAGGTATGGTATGCTTTCAGAAATCAGAATGGAATCGTCTTAGAACCAAACTTGTAAATAATGTAAGGTAGTGGAGTGGAGTAATTGATGAGAGATTGTGGGGTTGAAGGCCAAAGGGAAAAAAAAAGCAACTGAATGCTTATTCTTTGCTTTTGGTTGCTTCAACCGTTTCTTCATGTTTAATAAAATAAGGATAAAACAAAGGAAAACCTTCTTTGCGTGTAGGTGACATCAACTCTCTCCCCACCTCGCCTAATTTTTCGGTAGGGTTAGGTTCAACTCAACTCTGAACCGGCCTAATATGAATCGGGTCACATATACCCATCCGGTTCAAGAAAAAACCAGGCGACCCAGTCAGGGAATTGCAGATTTGATCCCTCCATCTTGGCGAGTTTTGAGATTCCACCTGCGTTATATTTGAAACCAAACAACGGAATTACCAATTCCTTCCCTCAGGTATATCATCTCCATGTCTCCCACTCCCACCTCTCAAATCCAAGCACGCTCTCCTTCAGCCAGTTATGGCCTTATAGCTAATCAGGGGGTCTATTTCATATTGTTTCTCATAGAAATTGAAGTGATTCTATCTTATTTTGTTGGGGTTGGGATTTCTGCCAAATATATACGTTCCAACACACTTCTAACATGATATGACATGGGTCCCAGTCCCATGTGTAAATAGGAGACGGGATCTGCTCCTCACATTTAGGCGTCTCACATGCACATCCACCATGCATTGGGAACATCTCCCGTGAATAATAACTTAAAAATACGGGAGATGTTTCCAATGCATAGTAGGATGTGCGTGTGAGGTGCTCTCCGGGAGGAGCGGATCCAGTCTCTGTAAATAGCAGTGGGTTGTTCTTGCATATTAGGTGGAAACTATGGAAATTGCATTTCTTACATCTTAAGATTTCTTTGATAGTTTCATATACACACATGAGGCCCTTTAGAAACGAATTGGGATCTGCTCCTCACACCGACTTTACAGCCACATCCCATTGTGTACTGAGAATATTTTTCATGAATATTAACATACAAGTACGAGAAATGTTCCCAATGTATGACTGAAACATGTTGTGAGGTCGGTGTGAGAAGCGTTATGTAAAAAACAGATTTGGACTCCTTAGAAACCACTTCGGATTCAATGCATTTGGACTCGAAGGGATTTTCTCTTCGATTCCACTAAAATTTTTACACGTCTCTCGGTGCTAGACTGGTCATCACTGGCGACCGACTGAAGTTTTACCGCAGGTTATGATTGATAAAAATAATTTTAAATAAAAATTGATAAATATAAAATTTTTGTAAAAATATCTAACTAAATATTGATAGAAAGTTCGAAACCCTCATGTTCTCATACTCGAACCCTTCTCCCCCAACCATTAATGAGAAGACAAAACCTTCCTCACGGTTGTGGCGTTGGATTTGCAAGACAAATCCTTACAATCTCAATAATGGGAAGACAAACCCGGTTTTGGCTTTGGATTTGCAAGACACGAGACGTCTTCTTCTTCCTCCATACTAAGCTTCTGAAAGTAAAAATAATAGCTCCTGATGCTGTACAATCCGGGCACTCCTAGTTGGCTGCTAACTGGCTCCTAGCTGGCAATGGACGACACCTGAGAAGAAGACGGTGAAGAATTCCCAAGGGACTTGCCCGGTGAGAATACTCCGATGCTTAGTTAGAATGCTGGAGAAAATAGTGAAGAGTGTAAAAAAGGCTAAGAGTGTAGATCACGCTAGATCACTGAGTTAGCTCAAGAGAAAGTTTGAATAAGTTCAAGATAAGATCTCAGATGTGAGAGAGAGAGAGAGCCCTTTCCTTCAACTAGGGGGCTCTTATATAGATGTTCTTGTCAAATCGGGCGTAACCACCATTGAGCTTCTGTCGTAGCCGTTATCTGCCAGGGCTACGTAGGTAACTGTTCCAGGGTACTACTCAATCGGGTGAGTGACACGTCCCGGGAGGATGGACACGCCACCATCTATCGAGAGACATGGGCGCAGTCTGCTGAACAGGCAGGGATTGCGCCGTCAGTCAGGAGACGTGGCACAGTCTGACGGGTACGGTCTTGTCAGATAGAAGCTTCCCGAAAGCATCACGTCACTTAGTCGCAAGCTATTCTGTCGCATAGCGAGCTATCCTGTCGCGAGCTACTTTGTAGCGAGCT